TCTCCCAGGGCCGCAGTTGTCTGTTAGTGTCCCAGGGAGCCTGAGGGCATCTCTGCCCTCCTGGGGTCCTGCTCTAACTCCCTGCGGGCGCCTTTCTGCCCGAGGAGATTGGTGCAGCTCCTGCTTCTCCGGGACGGGGCTCTCCTGTCCTGGGGACAGACACTCGCCCCGGCCTTAGCCCGGCCCCTCGTGGGGCTCCTCCCCCTTGGGGGCCTTTTGTTTCTTTATTTCTTTTTTCCCCTTCTTCCTACCTTGATAGAAGCGTGAACTCTTCTCACTGTAGCATTCCAGCTGTTCTCTCTTTAAATCTCAGGCCGAATTCGTAGATTTTCAGGATGATTTGAAGGTTATCTAGGTAATTTGGTGGGGACAGGTGATTTGGGGACCCTACTCCTCCACCATCTTGCCCCTCCTCCCTCGAAATATTTTAAATTAAATGAAATGTTCATAGCTTGGAATTTTTGACTCAAAAAAATGCTAGTTTGGGTTACTACACCCAATTTACAAACGTAAGCTAGTGATGTGATTAATAAATGTGTTGACAATTTAAGTTCTGCAGATATTTCATTGATAGTCCTTAGTTCAAAGCAGAGACAATATCTAGACTTTGTAACTCATCAGAATCCTGCTTGGATCTCATGAACTGACACATGAATTTTCCTTTGTCCAGCCTTGTCCAAATGTAGAAGTAGCCTTGAGATTTTTTATTGAATAACACCAATCAGAGTAAGATTTTCCAAAAGACCTTTCAGAAAGCTGAAATTAAATAGAAATCGTTATAGACCATCAGTTGGCAAAAGAAGTTGGCACTCATGGCAATTTTCTTGTCAAAATGACATTGGGGGGGGCACCTGGGTGGCTCAGTCGATTGAGCATCTGCCTTCGGCTCAGGTCATGATCCCAGGGTCCTGGAACAAGCCTGGCGTTGGGTTCCCTGCTCAGCAGGGGGTCTGCTTTGCCTCTCCCTCTGTAGCTCTCTATGCTTGTGTTTGCCCTCTCTCTCTCAAATAAATAAGTAAATTCTTTTTAAAAATAACATTTAAAGAAGTATATTTTACAAATATGATTGATGAGTTTGCTACAATGAAAGCCAGAAAGTAAGATTATATAATATATTCTACTTGGATGCAAAAATATTCAAGTTAAAAGCAATATTGTGAGTTAAGGTACATCTAAATTTCAATTTTACAATACCTTTTCATATTTTTAAAATATCATTTCTTACTTTTTTTAATTCCAATATAAATAACATGGTGTTTTTTAGTTATGGGCTTACAAATTTATAGCGTATTAAACAATTCTATATACTACTTGGTGTTCATCATAGTAAGTGTTCTCTTAATCCCCGTCAACTATATCACCCATCCCCTACCCTCTTCCCTCTGGTAACCACCACTTTGTTTGTTCTCTGTAGTTAAGGGTCAGTAATTTTGTCTTTCTGGGTTTTTTTGTTCATTTGTTTTGTTTCGTAAATTGCACATGTGAGTGAAATTGTATGTTATTTGTCTTTCCCTGACAAATGTACAAAGAAGATGTTGTACATACCACTAGGGTATTCCTTTAGATGGGGTCACACAGCAACACTCTGAGGAGGTGGCATTTCAGGAGAGAGGGGAAGGGTGACAAGATGTGAGAAGCAGAGTTGAGGGAGCAGGAAGTATACCTTTAACGGCTCTCAAATGGGCAAAGGCTGCCATGCGTTGGGAACCAGGATCCCAGTGTGGCTGTAGCACAATGATGGGCGCAGAGAGACAGTGGGAGATGTGAGGGTTCCAAGTGTGCTTGGACAGATACCCGGCTCTTTGCAACTGTGCCTTCGGTTATGGTACTTGTCAATAATTCCTGGCTGAATGGTTCAAGATCATGGTTCAAACAGTTTAAACACAGGTCTGTCCAGCCCACTGCTGGCCAAATAAGGGATTTTACTAGAAAGTGATCACTTCATTCCTCCTTTGCTGTTCCCTGACCATCACTTTTAGTGATTACATGCATTGGATCATGAACTCGTGGAAAGTCGACTTGAAGCAGATCATCAGGTTTAATGGAGAGAGACCTACTGCACACCCAAGGGCACAAAACCGTGAAACCTTGTAAAAGCTCTTTACTTGCCCATCAGGGTCAGTTGTCATGGAGGCAAGGCTCGGACATCAGCACATGGGGTTAAGGTCACCCCCTCCTCGAGGCTCTTCAGCAATCTCTGGCTCCAGAGGCCTGGCTGCTTAACTATCCCCAATCAGTAAGAGTTGGTGTTACCCTTTCCTGAGTAGGTCACTTTGCATGTCCCCTCACGTTCTTGGCCTGAATCTCCTCAGAAGGAGGAGAAGGACTGAGTAACCTCTACTCCATGGATCCTAAGGAGTAATGGCAGAGGTCAGACATTCCCAGTGTGTTCAGGGCCTGGACACAGTGGCACCCAGAAATTTGTGGGTTCGTCCTGAGGGTGATGATGAGTGATCCCAGGACTCCTTAGTGTTGTGTGACCACAACATGGGGATGGACTCTTGGGAACCTGGTACACAAGGGAGACATCAACGCACAGAGAGGTCCACCACAGGCTCACGTGCTCTTGGGGGGCAGGAACACTGTCTCAAAGGAGATGTGGGCTTTACATATCAGCAGACTCTCTGCTGTTAGTGTGAACTGGTTTTCTGAGTCAGTCCCCTTGAGAAGAGACTTTGTTGTTCTAGGTGCAGGTGATCAGAAGTAAGCCCATCCATTCTTCCTTGATTCACTTATTGCTGCAGAAATTGTCAGCCAAGGAGCACTCAGCCTTCTGTGTTGGTCTTTTGAACTAGAAAGGCCTCGGGATGCCTGGGTGGCTCAGCAGTTGAGCGTCTGCCTTTGGCTCAGGACATGATCCCAGATCTGGGATCGAGTCCTGCACTGGGCTCCTTGCGGGAAGCCGGCCTTTATCTCTGCGCGTCTCTCTCTCTCTCTCTCTCTCACTCGTCTCTGTCTGTCCGTCTCTCCCTCTCTCTCTCCCCCCCCGCCACGTCTCTCATGAATAAATAAATAAAATCTTTTTAAAAACGAACTAGAAAGGTAAAGAGTCCAGAAGGGAAAGCGCTTGCTATTCCGTCTGTGACCAGCTATGAATTCAACAAGAAGAGAGGAAACTCGAAAGTCCATACTGCTTCAACTTCTGCTTTACTATTCCAGCAAGAGGAAGAAAGATTTTCCCTTCTCTCCCCAGCAACAGGCAAGCCAATAAGAGACATTCACTGTCCAGTAGATAGATGAGGGACAGTTGCAATTCAGCCAATGAGGGACAGTCACAGCCCAGCCAATGAAGGATACTTACAGCCCACCCAGTGATAGATAGTCACATCTCAGCCAATGAGGGACAGTCACAGCATAGCCAATGAGGGATAATGACAGCCAGCCAATGTGAAACCTCTACATTCAAATGTAGGTTTAACTCAAATGAACTTCTTGTTTACAACTGCCCCTCTCCTCCTTATAAGAGCCTTCCTCTCCTTAGTTTTCTGGACTTGCCTATGATTTTACTATAGTGTGATTTTCCTGAAAATATAGAACAGGTTTATTTTTAAGGTTAACGACTCCTTCACTTGGCAAGGCTAACTCTTCGTACTTTTAAGTCTTTACACCTCAATTTAGTAAGGAATCCAGTTTCCCTTTAGTGAAATTTAGACATAGTGCTGCTCCATTCTCAAGAGCACGTGCCACGGACTGAGGGACACCAGGGTTTAACTATGGCTTCAGCGCCAAGCCAGCTGTCCGACCTGGAGCAAGGACGTTCTCTCTGGGGACTAAGTATCCTCAGTAGTTAAGAAGAAATCGGTCCCCTGCCTCTTAAGATGGCTGTGAGGTGGAGAGGAGCAGGACGGTAAGAATCCAAAGCCCACCCTGGCCCGTGTGAAGTGCTCTATAAATATTCTGCTCAGGCTTGGCGCTGCCTAGAGGAGACGTCATGACCCAGTACCAGGGAGAGGCTACAAGCACTGAGACAGAGAGAGTTCACGGGGGTCATTCACTGACTGTCAGTGATCTAGTGACAGTGACACTGCCTGGGGTTTAGGTTGGATGGATCCTCTCCCTCAATCATCAGGCAAACCTGGGGCTCTGGCGCAGTGTGGGGATATGGAAACTGACTGGAAGGACACAGGGCTGTAACTACACAAGACAATGTGGAGGACTGTGTCCATGAGGTTTGGCTTATTCTCGGCACTCTCATTATTTTCATTAAAGTCAAAGGAAAACATTACAAGTCACTTCAGGCAGGACATCTAATGGTGGGCCCATGGTAAGTAAGGTGGGAGTCATGCCCTCAGACCGAGCCCTATAAGGACCTGAGAGGATGTCTCATACGAATCAACAAGAATGGAGGATGTATAGGGTGCTGACTGGCTGAGACAGTGGAGGCAATGACTCTGGATCTCCGGGTTGTGAGTTCAGGCCCCTCATAGAGTGCAGACATTACTTAAAAAATAAATTTTTAAAAAAGGAGTTGCCTAGGTTTTTAAGTCAGTTAAGTGACTCACTCTTGATTTCAGCATAAGTCATGATACCAGGGTTGTAACACTGAGCATCTCATCAGGCTCTGTGCCAGATGTGGAACCTGCTTACGAATCTCACTCTCCTCCTTCTGCCACTTCATCTCTCCCTCTCATAAAAATAAAGGAACTGGCTAGTGTAGAAGACAATTATAAATACAGGCTAAAGGCTTGTGATCAGCTGAGGAGCTAGGATTTACTGTAACTTGATGACTAAATAGTGTTGCCCCACCTCAGAAGGAAATCAAAAAATTCATTCAAACTAAATACTTAGGGCAAAAGCCCAGGTTTTAATAACAGATAACATTCAAGTTGCAATGCTTTTGCTTAGCCTCAAGAAAACAATTTTCAGAGTGAACTCATGCCAGGAGGCATCAACAATATCAAATTGCATCAACAATATCAAATTGATATCAACAATATCAAATATCAAATTGCAGACAGCCACCTGGTTCTGCTTTCTCACTGATCATTTCCATAATAGGTTTATAAGTTGTGGGTGTGAGTATCTTTCTTGAGAAAGTGGTCCAATTCTAGTTTGTCTAGTACCTCCTGAAGGTGACCGATTAGGTCTTGTCTTTGGACTCTGAAAATAAAGAGAGACATCATTAACCAAAAGATATCTAAAGAACCTATAAAACAATATTCTCTGTAGAAAATGCAAGGAGGAGTAACATTTGCATGAGAACATTTGCAGGATAAGGGACAATCCAGCAAATGCAGAGTGACAGTTCAGGGTCAATGAATGTCCTCCTCAAACTCAGGTGTGAACACTAGGTTCCTGGAGCTTAAAGGAACCAGTGAGATTCAGATGATATCACTCTAAACTGGAGACAACATGAACTCTGAGTGAGGACCAGGGTTTGAGAAATTCCAGCAGGGCCCAATGCCACCTCTCCCCAAGCAACCCACTGGGCCCCCTGAGAAACACACTAGACAATTCTTCCCACACTCACTTTGCTGCTTGCTTCATGGCATATATCACGAACTTTCTCTGCAGTTCTGGAGGTCCTTGTACTCCTTCAAGCAATTTGAGGATTTTTTCATATTCTGATCATGTTTAGAAAAAAAAAAACCTTCAGTACGTGTAAAGAACAAAGAGGATGTATAACAAAAACTTGATGTCTCAGCAATCATTCAAGAGCTAGAATGTCAGAGCATGTGAGCTTTCCATGCTTACATACAGACATTCGAACACAGCCACCAGTGGATCTCTCAGAAACAATAAGCAATTAAGGAATACAAAGGATTAAAAACAAAGTTTACTAGCACATTTCTGTTCAAATAATGAGGAACTATTCTAATTGTGAAAACTCAATTCTGGTAAAGGATGAGCCTCAACAAGTTGGTTGGATCTAGTCTAACTCAAAGAGTGAGAAAGACTTGCTCTGGTTTCACGGAGAGAAATTCTTTTTACTTACGTCCTCCAAACTCTCGAATTTCCTTCTTCAACTTCTCTTTGACTTCCATATTGATCACTATTGGTATTGGCAGTTTATCTGGCACATCTCCCGACAAAGACATTGCCGTGACCTTGGGGTCAACTGCAGAGAGACAGCTGGTGATGATTATTCTTACCAGTGCATTACTACCAGGTTCGTGAAGCAACCCACCCTTGCTGATTGCGCTTAAGTCATGAGACAAAGAATCCAAGTGACTGTGTGGAATGCCATCTCCTGACATATTCATAAGCTCTGGAGGAACAGATTTTGATAAGAGGCCATCGGGGGTGGGGGGGGTGGGGTTTGACCACTTCTCGTCCCCTCCCCATGGATACTATGAAAGACAGGTGCATCTGGAAACCAGATTGAATGTGGAGCTGCAATCATGAGCATTTCAACAACCCCACACAGACATCATCCACATGCTCCGTGTCTCTAAAGTTTTCATTTCATAGCAGAAGGCGATACCAAATAGATGGATCGGACCTAAAAATTGGACCTCAAGAAAAATAATGCAATAAAGAAGCCTCTTACATTCCTGAACTATGTGTACACATAGAAACCTACTTGGACACGATAACCAATTAAAAACCCTTCACAGAGCCGTGGCACTCTTCAATTAATGTCCCCTGGATGCCCTCAACAAGTGGAAAAGCTAAATGTGTCCCTTGGTATCAGAATGCCTCAACTGGCACTCCATCACCAAAAATCCCAGCCAGTAAATGACAATCCTCTTCAGTCTTTTCCATCACAGAAATTTAATTTGCTGTACTCCAAGTGTGATGGGTCTACTTCATTCAATCATCTTCCTCTTGCTAGGCATCAAGCCAACACTGGGGATCAGCACTGAACAAGACAGAAGAAACCCTTCCCTTTTGGAATGTATAACCCTGGTGGTAGGTATAAAATGAGCAAAGGGAAAAATACAGTTTGTGTCAGGAAGTAAGTAAGCAGGGATGTTACAGACAGCAGAAAGGGAAGCATCCACGAGTGTGTTGTCAGCCAGGGGCCTCTGAGGAGGTGACACCTGGGCAGAGGCAGGAGCAGGAGACAGAACTGGCCTGTGCATACACAAAGCAGGAGTTCCAGGGGACCCGAGAACCATGCAGGACCCCTAGGGTGGGACAAACCAGGGGTGGGTAGCAATGGACACACAGGGTTAGCAAGCAGGACACAGAGAGGATAGCTGATGGTAGGAGACGATGGCAGGTCCAGGTCCTGTAGTGTGTGTAGACCAGCATTTGGATCTCAGAATCTGTGCAGAATACAGGGTGGAGTTGATGACACTAATGATGCACATGAACTGATAACTCTGTGGACATGGTCACTCTGGGCACACAGCAATAGATGGGCTCCTAGGGTCAAGTGGGGAAGCAGGATGTAAGCTCAGAAGCTAGGGGAGCAGGTGAATGAGGCAGGAGGCACCATGGATGGGCACAGGTAATGATGGGACTCAGGAACAATGACAGTACTAAGAGTCTCTGGAGAAAGAAGAGCACAAGGAAGAATGAAAAGGCATATTCAAGAAGAAGGAAAGCAGTAGGGTGAGGAGGCTGGGAAGCCAGAAATGTTTCTAGGAAGGACAGAGTGAACAGCTGGCCCAGTGTGGCTAAGAAATTGAGGGCAGCATCAGCCAAAGCTGGTAACCTTGATGGGAAATGCTCCCGTGGCGTGGAGGGCCCAGAGACAGGGCTTCCGTGGGTGAGGTCAGGAACGGGAGGGTAGGACAGGCATCCTCACCATCTTCCAAGGTCATGGCTGAGCCCCCGGGGTGGGATGTTCCCTCTCCTTCCTCTTTCACTGACAGCAGTGCCATCCTCTGCATTTTCTTAGACGGAGGAGGAGTGATGGGTTTCCCAGGACGTTTCGTTTGGCTTTCGGGCACAACAGCAGACTCCTCTGCTTTATCAGTCATCACTTCCTGAGGAGCATCAAGAAACATGTTCCATTAATGACTAAAACGCAACTCTACCTACACAGTATGGAGGGTCCTTAACAAGTTAAAAATAGAACGACTGCTGGGAAAAAAAAAAAAAAAGAACGACTGCTGGAAAGATTGCTAAGTTCCAGCAATTTCCCTACTAGGTACTTACCCAAAGGATATAAACTTACTGATTTGAAGGGGCGCATGTTTATAGCAGCATTTGCTACAAGACCCAAACTATGGTAAGAGCACAAGTGTCCATCGACTGATAAGTGTGCAAAGAACAGGTGGTGTATATACAATGGAATATTACGGAGCCATAAAAAAACCATGAAATCTTGCAATTACTTAGATGGAGCTAAGAGCATAATCCTAATTGAAATAAAACAGTCAGAGAAAAGCAAACAGGCTATGATTTCACTCATATTTGGAATTTAAGATACAAAACTAACTTAGGAGTCTCTCATGTTCTGTCACCCTCTCTGATATTTCCCACTCATTTTCTCTCCTTTCCCCTTTAAGCCCTTTCACTATTTCTTATATTCCCCGTATGAATGAAACCATATAATGTTTGTCCTAACTCTGGGAAATGAACAAGGGGTAGTGGAAGAGGAGGTGAGTGGGGGGACAGAGTGACTGGGTGACGGGCACTGAGGGGGACCCTTGATGGGATGAGCACCGGGTGTTATACTATACGTTGGCAAATCGAACTCAGATAAAAATAATATACAAAAAAAAAGAAACAAAACTGATGAACGTGGGGGCAAAAGGTGGGGCAAACCATCAAAAAGACTCCTAACTACAGAGACCAAACCAAGGTTTAGTAGCGGGGAGATGGGCATGGGGTCGGGTCTAATGTGTGACAGGGACTAAAGAGGACAGTTGTTGTGATGAGCACCACGTAATGCATGGCAGTGTAGAATCACTGAATTCTACCCCTGAAACTAATAGTAATTTTGTATTTTAATTCACTGGAGTTGGAATAAAAACTTGAAAATTAATGCAAGCATTCCAAAACTGCTTTCTACACATGTATATACATATGCATCCAGGTCATTTATATGAGGTTTAATAGGTGACACTTTTCAATGATGCCCACTCAAATATCTGTTTTCAGGAAACCCAGCTTAATTTCCATCCAGTCCATGTGAAAAATGGGAGAGGCTAACATACAGGTGTCATCCAAAGGCAAACAATGCACATGATGAATCAGATTGCTTCCAGAATGTGAACCCCTCAGCAAGAATTGAATAGACACGTGATTACATCTCGGAGGAAGTACAAACCATCCTGTGAAAATCCTTTCAGGGGAAATCACTTCATTTCCCTTATTGATTCAATTTAAGTGAACATTACCACTATTGTCTGAATCTTCACAGAATTCCCCTTAGTAGAGGGTAAGAGGAGAACTCTTTAATCCACCCACTTCCAATTGCAGGGAGTTCAAACACATCAGACTAGGAGCCATGTGATGAGCACTTGTCAGTGTTGCTGATGGGTCAAATGGTTACGTATTGGTATGAGAGATTACTGGAAATGTCTTCTCACCCTAGGATAACCCCCACATTTGCCCCAGCATGTTGTCAAATATTTGTGGTCAATACCTGTTCTGAACCACGGACCGATTCCCTTCAGCAGGAGTGCAAAAGAGGGAAATGATTTTCATGGAACTTTTCCTTCCAGCTAGATTCCCTGCTAAATGTTTTCCTTGTACTGACTCACTTAATCTTCCACAGGGTCCGCTGGTTTGCAACACTGGACACTCTCCAGGGTGACGTAAGAAACTGGCCCTCTACTCAAAGAGCAGAGAGAGGATGAAGGAAGAGGACCGCTAAACCAGATTGGTAGATATCAGGTGTAACAAGCAAGGGCATTTACATGCGAGGCTTGTCTTTGGCTGGCAGGAGGAATAGATAATCCACCCCTCCTTCCAGACCCTTCAGATTTATATGACCTCAATTAGGTTCAGTCACATAGGTGCACATCCAGCAGCAATCATGCCCCCTCCATGAGCTCCTCAGACATTCCACCCCTCAGGACTGACTATGATAATCATGTCCATTTCCCTCTGCCACAATGTGCCCCGAGCGGTCAGCCAGGGGTTCCTTGGGCATACAGGTAGATCCTCTGGTGGCTCTCTGGCTACACCAATTGTTGGATTGCTTCCTTTGCTGGGCCTAAGAGTAGCCCCACCCCCACCCCCACCCCCGTAGAAAGTTCTTCACAACTGGTGCCCAATCTGTAACGGGACACCACAGGAGCTACAGAAGTCCAAGGTTGGAAAAACAGATAAAAACAGTGTTTGTATGGGAAGGTCATCCCCTTATGCAAGAATCCCAGTTGTGGCCTGCCCCCTACATGTTCCTGTGGCTGCAGCATCAGGAAACTGACCTCATAATGCCTCCCACACATGCTGGGCAAGGAAGGCAGCAGTCAGGCCAGACGAGATGGACTGGGAGCAGGATCCGCCAGAGCAGGACCCCACCTGCTCCCCTCTAAGAACAGTGTGGGCTCCCATCTGGGTATGGTGCATGTCGGCAGAAGAGGGGGATCCCACGGGGCATGGAACCCTTTACCCTCCCTCACAGCTGTGAGGAAACACTCTTCCTGCAGAGATCCCCTTGCAAATCCCAGAAGATCCCATCTCTCCCGGGACCCATGGGGCTTAGTGTCCTGAGCGCAGCAGAGCACAGTGATCCACCATGAGAATCGGGCTGTGCCTGTCTCCTGAGACTTCCATAGCCTTATGAGGCTAAGTGTCTCTCAGGGGACCCCAGTCCAGGGTATGGGGTAAGAAACAGGCTCTATTGCTTCGTCACTCAAATACATTATAGCTGGGACAGTACTGTAGTCCACCAGAACAAGGTGGATTTACTGTAGGCTATTTAATCTGCTGTTTTAATTTCCCATTCTTCCCTTCTACCATCCCGCTGCCCACAGCTCAATGGGACATGGAACCTTCACACCATGTCAAGTTCCTCTGCCCAGTCTTTCATATCATGACCCTTAAAACATGACACAGATCCCTGTCTATTTGACAAGGGTATGTCTACACAGAAATCTTCTCCGATCCCCTAATGGTGGTGGCCTGTTTTGCCCATTAGGAGAAAGCTTCCATTAGGCCAGATATGTTGTCTACACAAAGGATGGCATATTGAGAACTCTCACTGGGATGGAGGGGCCCACGTATCACTTGCCACCCCCACATCAGGTGAGAACTCGGGCAGATGGTGCCAGATTCCTCTGGAGGTTGCCTGGGGCCCTGTTCAGAAGGCACAGGGCAGGCTGCTGTTGCATTAACATAGTCCCTGTGTTGTTTAGGACCATTCTGCCTGGTGTTGCACTGTGACCTTCCTGCCCACTCATGCGAGCTGCCAGATCTATGGGAGGGGCAGGCACTAGGGCTCTGGTAGGGCATCAGCTTCCTCATGGCCAGGAGTCTCAGTGCCTTAGGAGCCAGAGTGTGCAAAACAGCAAAGACAGCCTGGCAGACAAACCCAAATATCTCCCCACATACTGTGACCTCACGAGGACTTAATCTTGATCATCCACCCTGAGCATCCCAGTGTCCAGGCTCTAGGGATCATCCCTGCATTTCAGACCAACTGTCAGCGCTTACATTCTGGGCCCTTTGGTCTAGCAGTCATCGCCACGCATCCCAGAGCCACATGAACCACACCTGGAAGTGTGCCTTGGCCTTTGGATGGGTGGGGTGGTCTTCAGGCGTCTGACAGACTTCCACACCTCCCCACACAGAGGACAATGGCCAAGCCTGGAATTCCCCAATTGGAGCCTCCTTCTCCAGATCCATTTCTCTAGTCTCAAGGCTGGTTGACCCCTGGAGATTACTGTGCAGATTCTGGGGGAATTCAGACACTCATCCGTTACAAGGGGTGGGCAAGGAGGGACGAGGGAAAGCAGCAGACCACTCGACATGGGTCCTGGGAGGTTTCAAGAAGCAAAGAACGTATATATGAGGCTGGACTTGGGCAGCCTCATGAGTAGATCTTCGCGGAGCTGGCCAGAAAAAAAAAAAAAGTTTGTATAGACGACTATACGGAGTTCATTTCAGGCACCTTCCATATGGGCCCAGCAACACTCACTCTGAAGCTGTGAACTTGCCACAGTTCCTAGGGCGGAGCAGAACTTACATTCAATGAGGTGGGGTGTGTGAGGGGGTTCTGGTGACTTGGGGCAGGTTGGAGTCAATGGGAGATCAAGTTTCTCAGGAACTCCTCCAACAAAGACAAAATTCTGGCAAAAATTAAAAACAAAGTAAGGAAGGGGAGCTCTAGGGGGTCAGGAGCGATCATCCAGCGCAAAGATTCCCATGGTGGGTGGCTGGCTTACAGACAGGAGCCCTCTCCTGGCTCAGCAGCCATCAGCCTGCAGGATCATCCTTCATCAAAATCCTTTTACTGGGCAGAAGACCACCTTATGAAAGCGATGAGATGAGGAAGGGGCAGGACTTGTTAAGAGTGGCCAGAAGAAGGAGTAACGGGCCCGGAAATGCACATTGAGGCCCCAAGTGCTTGTTCACCACATTCACAAGGAACCTACAAAACAGGAGTGACTAATGGAAAAGCATCCCAGTGGGCTTGCTGCTACTTCCCTCAGCCCACAACTGACACGTTTGTTGTTTTGCCAATGTCTTGTGACGTTGCTGAGTGTGAATCCATTTGTCTGAGAACTATCATGCCCTCCAAACTACCTTAGAAATATTTTAACTGAGAAATTTCAATTGCATTCACTTTATATGCAAAATTTTAATTGCATTTAACTTGGAGATGTTGAGGATCCGGGATGGGACTAAAGTGACCACGTGAGGGGTGAGCAGCATGGGATTCTGACCAGGCCTCACAGTTGAGTGCAGTTGAGCACAGAAGCTGCCCGTCCTTTAGTTTCTCAGGGTGCCAGCCTGGCATCCTCCGTGGTAGCGCCTGCAGAAAGAAGGGCAGAAAGAGCCCTTTCCCCTCTCACAGCTGCTCCGCACTCTTCTGTGTTGTCATAAGTGGACTGTGGGAGAGGCGGGGCAAGACGGCGGAAGAGGGGGATCCCTGGGTGGCGCAGCAGTTTGGTGCCTGCCTTTGGCCCAGGGCGTGATCCTGGAGACCCGGGATCGAATCCCACGTCGGGCTCCCGGTGCATGGAGCCTGCTTCTCCCTCTGCTTATGTCTCTGCCTCTCTCCTCTCTCTCTCCTCTCTCTCTCTGCACTACCATAAATAAATAAAAATTTTAAAGAAAAGACGGCGGAAGAGTAGGATTCCCCAAGTCACCAGTCCCCACCAACTAACTTACCTAGATAACTTTCAAATCATCCTCAAAACCTAGGAATTCGGCCTGAGATTTAAAGAGAGAACAGCTGGAATGCTACAGAGAGAAGAGTTCGTGCTTCTATAAAGGTAGGAAGATGGAAAAAAAAAATTAAAGGAATAAAAAGGCATCCAAGGGGGAGGGGCCCCACGAGGAGCCGGGCTAAGGCTGGGCGGCAAGAGCCTCCGGGGCAGGAAAGCCCAGTCCCGGAGAAGCAGGAGCTTTACCAATCTTCCCGGATGGAAAGGCGCTCGCCGGGAACTCGGGCAGGATCCCAGGAGGGGCAGTGGAGCCCTCAGGCTCCCAGGGGCACTAGCAGAGGAACTGCGCCCCGGGGGAGAGCACCCACGCCGCCAGCTGAGCACCGGAAAGGGCTGGAGCGCACGCCCGGCGGGGCCCCTGGAGGAGCCCGAGCAGCAGCTGGGGCAGCGGCTCTGCACGGAGGGGACCGTGCGGCCACGGGAGCAGCTCAGGCAGAGGCTCTGCGCCAAGGGGGCTGCGGGACCCCAGGAGCAGCTGAGGCGGCGGCTATGCGTGGTGGGGGCTGTGCAGCCCTGGGAGCGCGATTCCAGCGGCAAAGGCCCTGGAGCCCAGGGCACTGGGGGACACAGCCCAGGATTGGGCGCTCCCCTCGGGACAGATGGAGGCCGGGAGGACACAGGGCAGTAAGGACGCTCCTGACCCTGGGTGGCCCTGAGCTGTGCAGATTGGCGTCCCCTGTCCCCGGAGCATCCAGGCCCCTGTGGACTGGGAGACTGTGGTAGTTACTGCTGGAGCTGACTCCAGGGCTGGAGAGGTGGCCGTCGCCACTTTTGTTGCTCCTCCTGGTATCACCTTGTGCCTGGGACTGAGCAGGTCCGCCAAGGAGCAGGGGCCTCACAGGATAAACAGCTCCCACTGAACCCTACACCTGGCAGGAGGCTGGGCAGCTCCCCCACGTGCACACACTTCAGAATCAGCACAGCAGGCCCCTCCCCCAAAAGACCAGCTGGAAGGACAGGCGAAGAGCAAGTTCTTGACCGAGCAGCGCTGGAAAGTTCCAGGGGAAGTCGAGGGATTTACAGTATATAGAATCAGAGGATACCCCCGCCTCATTTTTTGTTTTCTGTTTGTTCGCCCCCTTTTTTTCTCTCTTTTTCTCCTTTGTAAAGTACAACTTGGTTTTGGCCCCTCTGTTCTGAGCAAAATGACTAGAAGGAAAAACTCACCACAAAAGAAAGAATCAGAAACAGTCCTCTCTCCCACAGAGTTACAAAATTTGGGCTACAATTCAATGTCAGAAAGCCAATTCAGAAGCACAATTATAAATCTCCTTGTGGCTCTAGAAAAAAGCATAAAGGACTCAAGAGACTTCACGACTGCAGAATTTAGATCTAATCAGGCTGAAATTAAAAATCAATTAAATGAGATGCAATCCAAACTGGAGGTCCTAACGACGAGGGTTAACGAGGTAGAAGAACAAATGACTGACATAGAAGACAAGTTGATGGCAAAGAAAGAAGCTGAGGAAAAAAGAGACAACCAATCAGAAGATCATGAGGATAGGTTAAGGGAAATAAAGGACAGCCTCAGAAGGAAAAATCTACGTTTAATTGCGGTTCCCGAGGGCGCCGAGAGGGACAGAGGACCAGAAAGTGTATTTGAACAAATGGTAGCTGAGAACTTCCCTAACTTTGGAAGGGAAACAGGCATTCAGATCCAGGAAATGGAGAGATTCCCCCCCCCCAAAATCAATAAAAACAGCTCAACACCTCGACATTTAATAGTGAAACTTGCAAATTCCAAAGATAAAGAGAAGATCCTTAAAGCAGCAAGAGACAAGAGATCCCTAACCTTTAAGGGGAGAAGTATTAGGTTAACAGCATAGCTCTCCACAGAGACCTGGCAGGCCAGAAAGGGCTGCCACGATATAGTCGGGGTCCTAAATGAGAAGAACCTGCAGCCAAGAATACTTTATCCAGCAAGGCTCTCATTCAGAATAGAGAGATAAAGAGCTTCCAAGATAGGCAGTAACTGAAACAATATGTGACCACCAAACCAGCTCTGCAAGAAATATTAAGGGGGACTCTTTAAAAGAAAGAGGAAGTCCAAGGAAACAATCCACAAAAACAGGGACTGAATAGGTATCATGATGACACTAAATTCATATCTTTCAATAGTAATTCTGAACGTGAATGGGCTTAATGACCCCATCAAAAGGCGCAGAGTTTCAGACTGGA